TGCTTTACAATACTGTGTTAGTTTCTGCCATACATCAACATGAATCAGCCATAGGTAAACACAGCTCCTCCGTCTTGAACGTTCTCCCACCTCGCACGCCATGCAGTGTCTCTAGTCGTCACCGAGCACTGGGTTTGAGATCCCAGCATCATACAGCAAGCTCCCACTGGCCATCCTTTCACATATGGTAAAGTATATGTTTTGGGGCTTCCCAGGTGGCACTAGTGGTAAAGAACCTGCCTGGCAACGCAGAAGACACAAGAGACGTGGTTTTGATTCCTGGATTGGGAAAGTCCCCTGGAGGAGGGCATTATAACCCACTCCAGTATTTTTGCCTGGAGAATCCCCATTAAACAGAGGAGCCTGTGGGGTCTACAGTCCATAGGGTCACACAGAGTCAAACATAACTGAATCGACATAGTATGAACACATGCAAAGTCTACGTTTCAATGCTACCCTCCCAATTTGTCCCACCGTCTCCTTCTCCAACTGTGTCCACACAGTTGGCTGTTTTTCTTTTTTTATATTGAGTTCTATGAGCTGTTTGTTATTTTGCAAATTAATTCCTTGTTTGTTGCATCATTTGCAAGTATCTTCTCCCACTCTGTAGGTTGTCTTTTCGTTTCATTTATCGTTTCCTTTTGGAGAAGGCAATGGCAACCCGCTCCAGTACTCTTGCCTGGAAAATCCCACGGACAGAGGAGCCTGGTTGGCTGCACTTCCTGGGGTCGCTAAGAGTTGGACACGACTGAGCGACTTAGCAGCAGCAGCAGCAGCAGCATAGTTTCCTTTGCTGTGCAGAACCTTTCGATTTTAATTAGGTCTCATTTGTTTGTTTTTATTTCCATTACTCTAGGAGATGAACCCCAAAAGATACCGCTGTGATTTCTGTCAAAGGGTATTCTACCTATGTTTTCCTCTAAGAGTTTTATAGTACCCAGTCTTATATTTAGGTCTTTAATCTATTTTGATTTTCTTTTTTTGTATGGTGTTTAAAAGTGTTCTAATGTCAATCTTTTATATATAGCTGTCCAGTTCTCCTAGCACCACTTATTGAAGACACTGTCTTTTCCCCATTGTACATTTTCCCTTCCTTTGTCATAGATTAGGTGACCATAGGTGCATGAATTTATCTCTGGGCTTTCTATCTTATTCCATTGATCTGTGTTTCTGTTTTTTGTGTCAGTACAATGCAGTTTTGATAATTATAGTTAGTAGTGTAGTCTGAAATTAGAGAGCTTGATTCCTTTAGCTCTGTTTTTCTTTCTCAAGGTTGCTTTTGCAATTCCATACACATTAAAAATTTTTTGTTCTAGTTTTGTGGAAAAGGCCATATAAGAAAAACTCACAATTAACATCATACTGAACACTGAAAAGCTGAAAGCATTTTCTCTGATTAAAAATTTAAATGAATTCCTCCTAATCATCTGTGCCAGCTAGATCATTGCTTTTTGTGCTTTGCGTATGTGTATCTGTGTTCCTTCCTGATGGTCTCTCTGTGGATGATACTGTCTTTTCTTAAGAGTTTAGGTTACTTTGTTGTATATCAGCTCTCTCTGAGTCCAAGAAAATGAATGACTTTGTAGTTTATTAGGATATTTCTTATGAGTTTTCTGTTACTGGTTGCCATTTTCTATTTCCTAAGCAGAAGTGGAAATACCCTCTATTCCTTCTGTATTACAATAATGTTATTTTTAATTTTTAGATTTTATAGCATCACCATGTAGAAATAAAATTCCATATATTTATAAGATATCTACATACAAAGTTAGCTTTGTAAACCTAAAAATTCATTAGTATATATATTTTAGGAATTAATAGTTAATTATGCATTTATTTTTATGATAAATTTTATTTATAAGTCTAAACAGAGAATTTTGTGTAATAACACACTAAAATCTTATATATACTCTACCTTGAGACCACAGGTATTCACATAATGCCATATTAAAAATCTTTCACAATGTATTTACACATACATATATTTTCCTGCTAATACATGATTTTCAGGGAACATACTGCAACACTTTTTTCTTTACTATATCTCCATCAAATATTGAAGAATTTATAGAATATGCTCTACATAATTATAATACTATTATATAAAGATAATTCCATAATATCTTTAAATATCTCATGCATGTACAATTTATCCCAATTGTTTCCAAAATATTTTTATAGCATATATCCAAATCGGAGTCCTACTGAAAGGCTGTTGCTGAGCCGTGAAAGATGCCAGGATTCTTGCCCTCCGGAGGAGAGGAATTCAATCTGAGGCCAGTGATGAGTCTTGATCGCTCAGAGCTTTTGTGTAATAAAGTTTTATTAAAGTGTAAAAGAGATGGAGAAAGCTTCTAACATAGACAACAGAAGGCGGCAGAAAGAGTGCCCCCTGCTGGCCTGTAGCTGCATGCTATATACCTATCAGCAATCTGTTAATTAGAGAAAGGCAATGTCTCAAAACTCAGAGTGGCACCAAGTCCCTCACCCACAACATGCATTTTGAGATAACATTAGCACCAAGTGAGTCATCCCGGGCCATAAAATGATTGACATGAATCATGAAGAAAGACAGGTTTTCAAGTAAATATATAGATTCATTAATATAGATTAGGAGAACAATGTATGAGTAAAACATACAGTTTTGTTGAGCCCTTATTTGTTCTGAGTCTTAAGTGAACCGACTTGAAGAAAGACAGAGTCTAGGGTAAATGCATAGTTCATTAACATAGCTTAAGACAAATATTTCCATAAGAAAAACACTTTGGTTAGCTCAAGGTTTGAGAAAAGTTAAGTTCAGGTGGAGACAGGTGTCATCATGGCAACACAGGATTTTAAGAAAAAACTCTGTTTAAATTTGTATAGAGAAGGGGAAAAAAAATCTAGCCCTTGTTTTTTTTCCTCCTGCCACTTAAGAAAGAGTTAAAAAATGCCTGACACTTGCAGTTCTATTTCCTCCTTTTGGAGAGCCCTGGCCTTCTTGCCTGTTAGCCTCTCACTACTAAAGTTGACAGTGAATTTGATGGCCATGTCACTTTTGTCACTTTTATCTAGATGGCCTTATGCACCTTTTACAATGATACTGACATTAGAAAACTTTCCTATGTTCTGTATTTCTCTGTATGGTTATTTAACTTGTGTGCCTTTCCCCTGTGTTTCATGTGTACTGAAAGTCTGGTTGAAAGAACAGGTACCAGAAAGATCTTTCTAGAAAGGACCAGATGGTAAAAATGTTTGGCTTTGTGGTCTTGCAGACTGTTTCACAAGCACTCGACTTCACATTGTAGCCTGAAAGCAACTATGGACAATAAACCAGTGAATAATGTGGTTATGAACCATTAAGAGTTTATTTGCAAAGACAGGCAGCTTCCTGAATTTGCCTGAAGGTTATACTTTGCTAAGCGTTGGTCTAAAGGTTAGATTAGATATAGGTTAAATTAATTGGGCTTCCCCGATGGCTTAGTGGGTAAAGAATCTGCCTGCAATGCAAGAGATACAGGCAGATGAGGGTTCGATCTCTCAAACAGAGAGATCCCCTGGAAGACATCAATACTAGAGGCAACCTACTCTTGTATTTTTGCCTGGAGAATGCCATGGACAGAGGAGCCTGGCCTGCTGGACACGACTGAAGCAACAGCACACATACACACACACACACTTATGATATGGACACAAACCTTTATTTAGCACAAATGGGATGTTTTCAGTTCATGTCTTATCAGGAAATATATAACGTCAGACTGATATTATTGATGTTAAGATTGATCATTAAGTTCATTTGGTGCCAATATTTAACATTATAAAAATACACTTTGGTCCTTGTAATAAATCAATAATCACTTAAGAGAATTCTTTAGCATTGTGAGATTGGCCATTCTTTCAACAAGATTTCCCCCAGTGCTTTTAGTGGCGATTTACTGGATACTGAAAAATTGTCATTATCTACTTCTGTCATATCTTCTACACTTATTTTCAAATAGGTTAAGTATCACTATATACTCATGTATATTTTAAATTTAACACATTATGATCATTTAAAGTCATTTTTCATTTGGTTTAAATTGATGCAAATCTGGTCAGTGGATGTCCATGGGACATTTCTATGTCCCTCTGGACTTGGATCTTGCCAAGATCACATTCTGAGAGTGAAGTAGTTTGTTATACATGCAAGTAAAACTTAAAAAATGTGCAGCAGCAATGTACTCTTTCTAACCCAGCACATCTTACAATTGTAGGATGCAGAGACTTTATTTATTCACAGGGTTCTGATTTTACTCTTCACAAAGACTTTTCTCTAACATGTAAGCGCTGTAAAATTAGAAACTAGATCTCTTAATTTAGTGCAGTCCATGGTGTGTACCAAGCTTCCATGGTGGCTCAGATGGTAAAGAATCTGCCTGCAGTGCAGGAGACCAGACTTCAGTCCATGGGTCAGGAAGATCCCCTGAAGAAAGGAATAGCTATCCACTCCAGTATTCTTGCCTGGAGAATTCCATGGACCGAAGAGCCTGGTGGGCTATGGACTACGGGGTTACAAAGAATCAGACACTACTGAGTGACTTACAAACACTCACACATATGGTGAGTAGTAAAATATATTTTTCTAATGCCTAAGTTAGTAATCTTTAGATGGAGGGTGAAGAAGTTGAAGCATGTATGTATTGAAACCAACTGTTCCAGTTGCTTGTAATTCAAGTGTTTTTAGGACAAAATCCAGGAAAAAGTTGGGACATCATAGCAACTGTTTACCCTCCATGTAGGCGTTTGAACCTTACTTTCCTGTCTTTCAGTATTTTAAGACAGTTTTCTGAAGCTTGTTTTCCTTATCATATACCTTCAAATATCTTCATATACCTACAAACTTGAGGAACTTTGTAGAAAAAGGTTGAAGCAGGTGATTTAATCTAAGGCAACTGAGGAATTGCATCAGAGCCCTTTGACTATGCTGAGAGTGAGGTGAGCATCACATATGGAGTAGAAAAGCAAAATTCTCCCAGAAATCTAAATATCAAGAATTCCCATCATATTTCCTTACACAATGGTTCTGTGAAGAGTTCCTGTAACCAACATGAAAACATATTTTAGAAGTTTTCCCAAAGATGACAGTTCAGAATTTTCCTTGCCGACCAGGATAGAAGATCATCTGATTTAGTCGTTAATTTAAGTCTCCTGAGAAGGAATATGTAAAAATGACACTTTGTTAGAAAATGCAAAACTTTTACACTGAAAACTAAAGAAGATTCTCAAAAGAAGTCAAAGAAGACCCAAAGAAACGGATAAACACGCCACATTCATAGATCAGAAGACAATATTGTTAATATGGTAGCATTCCACCAAATTGACCTATAGACTCAATTCAATCCTTATGAACATCTCAGTAACCTTATGATGTTGAATAAATATCCCCAGCTTCAATCAACTGATATTACTTTGAATGTTTTTTGCACATGGCTCTGTGCTGACCCTGTATATTAAAAATAACACAGGCAAGATTTCTGATTTCACAAACCATCTAGTGGGAAGATAAATACAAATGGTCAATTATATTTGTGAAATGGGAGGTCCTTCTGCCCTGGTCCCTCCAGTGATGTCCCTATCTTTTTCCTGTCCATGAAATGACTGAGAGCATTCTCTGTCCAGATGATTCTCTCTGTGTAAATGAAAAGAAAGCAATGGACCTCCCTGGCCTCTTAGAAGATGTGATAAGTAGATAATGAACCTGATTTCACCAGCTACAGTAGTGTGGATGAGGGTAGTGGGAAGCACATGAATAAAGATATGGGCATGAATTTGTATGCTGGGTGCTGGGTCCTGGGTCAGGTATGACATTTATCAGTAAAATGTCAAATAAATAACAAGCCCTCCAGATGATTTTTATGCACTGTAAAACTTGAGAATCTTAGTTTCACCAGGAGAATAAAGACTGTGCCCCAATCCATAAGAAAAGTACTACAAGCTAATAGAAAAATATGCCAAGGATGTGAACAAGTTGTTTCCAGAGATTGAAATATTACTGACTCATAAAGAAAGCTGTTCCCTTCCACTAATAATAAAAAGGATACAAAGATACAAATCTTTCCCTAGATATACTATTTACCTTTCAGATGGGTAAAAGTACAAAACTTGATAAGAACCTTGTGGTGAGGCTGTAGGGAAACATGTGGCTCAGGATAAAAATCTGCCTGCCAGTGCAAGAAATGCAAGAGATGTGAGTTTGACCCCTAGGTTGGCAAGATCCTGGAAGAGGAAATGGCAACACACTCTAGTATTTTTGCCTGGAAAATCTCATGAATAGAGGAGCTTGCAGGCCACAGTACATGGGGTCGCAACAGAGTCCAACAAAATTGAGCGTGCATACACACACACATACTATTGGTGGCAGGGTCAATGGAGTGACCTCAAGATGTTAAAATATGGAAGTATCTACAAACCTGAAGTTGTGAATTTGATGCAGTATCCAACCTAACTGCATAATAAAAAATGAGATCAATGAAGTAAGTGTAAACAGTTGCAATATTATTTGTATTAGCAAATGACCTAACAAAACACTCATTATAAGAGACTTGATATGTAATTTATCCAACAGAAGGCCACATGGTCAAAAAATAATGGAGAATCTTTTCGTAGTCTCAAGAGAATAATCTATCAGATGTCTGAAAAAAGAAGGAACAAATAAGAAATACATAGATTGGATTTGCTATGTAAAATATCTGTTGACACGTTCAGGAGAAACCAACTTTGGTGTTTGGACCAAGAGGACCTCAGTGTCTGGGGTTCGAAGTGAGATGGAGATGGTTCCTTTCTTATTCTCTTGGCATTCAAAACCCAAATATTTTAACTCTTCACTAATGTAAAATGGTGTATAAAGTATGGATATTTTGACATCTAGTCACATGGCTGTAGGAAACCTGGCCTTGGATTGTTGTTCAAACTTCTGGGGGCTCCTGTGATTCTTAAGCATTTTGTGCTACAGTCATTTCATGCTTACTTTCATGTGAATGCCACTTTTGTTTCAGTAAATTCCCCAGGTAAATTTCAGGTTGCCAGAGAGTCTTGGTTTTGATGAGCCAGAGAAAGTAAGGAGCTCACTTGGTCAGGTGAAGAGGCAAAGATTTCTCCTGACTCACCTGTACTCACCGGTTCTTCTGGTCCCCTCCGACCTCTGCCATCATCAAATCTTTCTTTCTATAAGCCCTTGTGCACTCCATTCCAGAAGAGTCTCATGGTATTGAGAATTCTATTGACAACCGTATCACTATTCTCTGTGGTATACATAACCACTTCCAGGTTTGAAGTCAAATGCGAATCTGGGTGGGCTTCCCATGTGGTGATAAAGAATGCAGTAAATAACGCAAGAGACATAAGAGGCACAGGTTTCATCCCTGGGTTGGAAAGATCCCATGGAGAAGAGAATGGCTACCCACTCTAGTATTCTTGCCTGGGAAAGTCCATGGAAAAGGAGTCTGGGGGGGCTACAACCTATTGGATGGAAAGAGTTGGAGATGACTTAGAGACTAAACCACCATGGCTAATTCACATTGTTTTATCACTGAAACCAACACAACATTGTAAAGCAATTATCCTCCAGTTTGAGAAAAAAACATAAAAAGAACTTCCTCTACAAAAAAAGCAAAAACACAAATTGAGTTGCTTTTTTTTTTTTTTGGTGAAAAGACTCAAAGTTTAGAGACCTTTCATGTAAGGAAGCTTCTCCTGGTGGCCTTCAGATAGAGACACTGTGAGAGGGTCCAGGAGAGGCCACCTGAGAAGGAACACATATAGGCCCTGAGAGCTACACCTGCTCCCTTGCTGACAGGTAGGAAGACAATGAGACCTCAGTCTGACAACCACAAGGAACTGAACTTTGCCAGAAGTCAGAGGGTTGGATGAGGACTCCAAGCCTCAATAAGAATGCAGTCCAGGTGGACAGAAAGATTTCAGCATTGTAAAAATCTGAGCAGCCATCCCAGCTATACCATGCGAGATTTAATTTTTTTCTGGTTTTACATGTGTGAAAATTTGTTACCCAGCAGCACACATTGAATGTAGTCACTGAGGCTTCCTCTCTGCACTTCATAGTGGGCCATGAGGACAGCAAAGCTGCTGAGGTGGTGCTGATGTCTGTGGTTCCCACCATCTTGCAGCCTCTGGTGGCCCGGTGACCACTTACATTCTGGCCACGCTCCCAGCAGATGCAGTACACCTTCTCCTTTGGCCCAAGCATCACTGACTATAGGGACAGGAAGTAGGTGTGAGCTGTGTGGGTCTATTGCTCGGAAATGCTGACCCAAAGCTAGCTTATGCTGGGCTTTCCTGGGGATATGATGCACTCGTGGGGGAGCCCCCTGAAACCCAAGGCTCTGCCCAGGACCCAGGAGGACTCTTCCACATCCACAGCTCCATCCCAGCAGGACTCACATGCTGGAAGACCAAGGTGATGGGGGAGCTGAGGTTCGGGGTGTTATTGTTGCTGATAAAGGTGGATATGCCATCTGACATCAGGGTGGGGGAGATTTCCCACAGCAAACCCCTGTGTGTCTCTTGTGGAATTGCCTGTTCCTCAGTATCCAGGACCAGGGGGACTTTATCCAGCAACTTTCCCATCCCAGGTGTGGAGATAAGCCCTACCACGATAGGACCTGCAGGACAAGAACAAGGTTGATATCTGGGAGTGCCCAACATGACCCCTCTTTTAGATGGACTCTTTCTTTGTAGCCCCATCATAACTCTCAATTCCTTTTAAACTTTAATTTTTTTCTTGGTTAGTGGCCACAAGAGGCTGCTGTGAGTGGGGCAAGGTTTCTCTAATAATTTGATACAGGAAAGTGACTCAGTTATGCACATATATACATTCTTTTTATATTATTTTCCATCATGATTTATCATAGGTGTTTAAAGTTTTTTGAATGCCCTGTCGGACACAGTAAAATTCTGGATTTGCAGGAATTGAGTAACCAGTACGTCCACCGTCCACCACCATGACTTCTTTCACACTGATGACATGATGAATTTCTTGAAACACACAGAACACACAGATAAAAAGTATCTTTTGTCCTCACTTAATGGCTCAAAGAATAACACTTCAGGTTTTCCAAGGGGTAAGAAGATACAATTCAAATGATTTTTTTTCTGCTACTCCATGCAGCTTGAGGGATCTTAGTTTCCTGAACAGGGACTGAAGCTGGGCACAGAGCAGTGAAAGTGCCAAGTCTTAGCCACTGGACTGCCACGGAATCCCTCCAAAGATCTTTTTGAAATTAATTAATTTATTTTAATTGGGGGCTAATTACTTTACAGTATGGGGGTGGCCTTTGCCATACATCAACATGAATCAGCCATAGGTGTACATGGGTCCCCCCATCCTGAGCCCCCCTCCCATCTCCCTCTCTTCTGCATCCCTCCAGGTTGGCCCAGAGCACCGGTTCTGAGTGCCCTGTTTCATGCATCAAACTTGCCCTGGTCATCTATTTTACATATGGTAATGTATGTGTTTCAATGCTATTCTCTCAAATCGTCCCACCTTCACCTTCTCCCACAAAGCCCAAAAGTCTGTTCTTTATATCTGCCTCTCTTTAGCTGTCTTGCATATAGGGTCATCATTACCATCTTTCTACATTCTCTATATATGCATTAATATACTGTATTGGTGTTTCTCTTTCTGACTTACTTCACTCTGTATAATAGGCTCCAGCTTTATCCACCTCATTAAAACTGACACAAATGCATTCATTTTTTTTTGTAGCTGAGTAATATTCCATTCTGTATATGTACTACAACTTCCTTATCCACTCATCTGTTAATGGACATCTAGGTTGCTTCCATGTCCTAGCTATTGTAAACAGTGTAGCAATGAACATTGGGGTACACGTGTCTCTTTCAATTCTGGTTTCCTTGGTGTGTATGCCCAGCAGTGGAATTGCTGGGTCATATGGCAGTTCTATTTCCAGGTTTTTAAGGAATCTCCACACTGTTCTCCATAGTGGCCATACTAGTTTCTATTCCCACCAACAGTATAAGAGGGTTCCCTTTTCTCCACACCCTCTCCAGCATTTATTGTTTGTAGACTTTTTGATGACAGTCATGCTGAAAGGTGTGAGATGGTACCTCATTGTGGTCTTGATTAGCATTTTCTGATAATGAGCAATGTTGAGCATCTTTTCATGTGTTTG